AGTTTATAATAGCCTATTACAGTATTATCCATCGAGTGAATATCGAGATTACCGCATCTACTGGTAAGGCTGCACTTGAATTAAAATCATCTGGTAAAACTGGCCGTACGATTCATTTGATATTTAAGTTTGGTAAGAATATATCGCCTAACAAGGTAAAATTGAAACTAAGAGATAAAGGTTACTGTGATTAGCTGAGAAAAGTGCGAGCTATAATCATAGATGAATGTTCGATGGTTAATGATGATCTTCTTGATTCTATCGTCCATCTATTTACAAGAAATGAAATAACCAAACTGGGTAAAGTGCATTTCATAATCACCGGTGACTTTTTTCAACTTCCACCAGCATCGGGTGGTATGTGTTTTCTGAACAAGCAGCCACACAAAGGTTACATAATTCGGCAGATCTCCTCATCATACGAAGGCCTAGTGCGATCATAGCACAATTGCGTTTCCAAATCAACTTAGCAGAATTTGGGGATGGGTTGTCCACAAAATTATATAGAGCCTCTATCGGGAAAGGGTTCCGTGGCTATATGGCCTCTTTGTCAATTGCAGCACGTTTCATAAGGTTATGGATAAGGCGTTGGATATTAAAGCTTAAAGTTGGGTCCAGGAACCCCATTCTACAGTGGTACTGACCAATTGCTACTGCATACAAGCGTGGGTTAAAAGGTTCCTGCGATATGTCCAACCAGACTAAAAACATTAGTATCAAGTCCGGGTCAGCTGGGCACGGGTTCAGCTTATTCTGCATGCAAAAATCCTCGAACTTATTCCACAAACATGCGAGACGTCATTCGTACGCCGATCCAGGGGCTATGGTTTGGTGTGCTTTCATCAGTAAGGTGGTCAGAAGCAGACTTTGATTGCCTGAAATTTCCAATGTGGGTTTTTCCACGGCTCTGGTATTGCATTGCTCCCCGGGTTGGGTAAGAAACACGTGATTGCTGGTGGTAAGTCCATTATCTCGATTTGCTTTTGTAGGAGAATCGGCCACCACGTGGCCGACGGCCATACCGGCACAATCATAATTACTTGGGCCCGGAACTGGGTTCCATGTTCGAATACCTTCTGAATTAACACCAGTGCGGGGCATGCATAGTTGTTTTCGGTCTCCCAATTTTGGGTGAAGCAATCCGTCGCTTCCGCCTCCAGGTAGTAAAAGCGACTGTTGAAACATTCTACCTTCCTCATCCAGTAGCTTGCCATTCTGTCTATAGTAAAGGGCCCCCATTTCTATTCTACTTTGGTGTAAACATCCTGGGCTACCTCCCAGTCGGATTCGTCAAAGAATCGTGTTAATTCGTCTGCCGGGTTTAGTTTTGAGGGTACCCACTAGAATTCGTGAATTTGTATATAGTGATTGTTGCAAAAATCCCACACTCGACGCATTATATCCTTCTGCCATGGGCATTTCCCACCTGATTCTACTGTTTTCCTTGCAACCCGATTGTCTATAAAAATAGTGACCCAACGGTTGGTAATTAAATGCGCAAATGATTCGAGGCCCAAGAGGGCCGCTGTTGACTCGAGATGTGCAATGTCCACGTGTTGATGGTGGTATTCCCAGTTTCCGAAAGCCCGCATTTCCTTCAAGGTTGCAGACCAGCCCGTCGTTGAGGCGTCCACAAAAATTGGAATTATTTGTGAGGGTTTCCATGCGGGACGCCCATTTCTCTTCTTCAGATTTTCTTGCAACCATTTTACATCCCTGATAGCTTGGTTTGTCAATTTTATAGGATTGTCCCACTCCCAGGGCCTCCGGTCTTTTGCGTTGATAATCGAATAGAATTCTAGGCAACGGGTTTTCGCATATGCGAAGGCTCGACTTAAACTTATCACTTGTCCCACTACTGACGAAAGGTGGCGGGTTGTCAGGTGATTTATTACTAGGAGGGTTTGAAGTCCCACGAGGGCAGCGTTTATTTTCGATTCCGGTGCCAGGACCTGTCCCGTTACTGTATCTAGAATCAATCTGTAGAACTTTGGCTGCTGAGTCGGTTCGGGATATCCTTTTTCAGCCAGAATAAAACCACAGTTCTTTAGGTCCCAAAAAATTTTCGAATTTCTTATTTGGATCAAAGTCTCCCGGCATGGATGGGCAATCCATATGTCGTCGAGATAGTTCCCGCAAAAGATCCCTGATGCCCTCCAATGTCCTACTAACGATCTCATTATTTTTGAAAAAGTCCAAACTGCCAAACTTAGGCCAAACGGTAGAACTCGATAGTGGTACCACTTTGCTGCCACTTGAAACCCTAACAGCTTCTGTGCTTTTTGATCCATCAGCACGTGATGGTACCCTTCCTTTAGGTCCAACACAACTACCCACCAATCTTTCCCCGTCATTCATAAAAACGCTTCGAATCCTTCGAATCTGAACGCTTTTTCTGGCAGCGTCCTGTTCAAGCGTCTGAGGTCGATAACAAGGCACCATTTCTTGGGGCCCGGTTTGGGGGTCAAAAATATCGGGCTTACTTCGAATAGTTGTGGCGGGCGACTTGCCAAGTCTGAAACTAAAGTTATTGCCCTTATTTCTAATAACCTTTTTATCTCCAAATCTAACCACGATGCCTGGTCTTTTGTCAATGTATACCGGGGCGGGTCGGGTTGTAGTATCAGATTTAAAAGTCCTTTCGGATATAACGGCACCCCATTCCTTAACCAACTTAGAACCAACTCCGATGCCTTGATCTCTTGTTCCCAATATTTTATATGTTCTGGTAGGTGTAACCTTCCTACAACTGATATTTTTTGCTG